CTTAAAATTAAACTACTAGTGTTGTCGAGCACAGCGGGCTCCCTAACAAAAAAAAAAAGTTAAGTGTGAGGAGTGATATAAATTTTATTTTGTGTACAAGTGATAAAACCTAAAATTTTGTTCAGAATTTCACAAAAGTCAGACTCCAATTTCAATTTCAGAAGTTCTAATTTTCTAGTATTAAGTGATCCTCCACTAACATTTGATTTGCATAATCATTTTTAAATATACAAAAATCACTTGAAAGTCTAGCATTTAAAAAAGACAATATGAAGATCTTAATTTACAGTAAGGTCATGGCTACTAGCCTGTATTATTACTGTGATGACTTATAGCTTGTATTATCATCACCACAGCTAGTGCCTTTCCAACAAAACCTACAACTGATTACTAGCTCCTTCTCATGATTAACATAAAGAATACAACAGTTTAGCAGCTAAAACATAGAGAAAAATTAGTAACAAGTATCTAACAACATGAAATAAAATATTAACTAATTACTAATAAGCAATTAACCATGACAACAATTCTTTACACAGTGTATTACATCATACTGTGTGGCAGTAATTGATTAACTGAAGGTAAGTTATTAGTGTGGTGGTTGATTAAATTATTAGCAAATATCATTAATCACCCAGTTTTACATACATGTTAATTTTTGGCAAATTTAAGATTTTCTATATTTGTTAATTACTTTCATTACAGTTTGAGGAGAAAGTGAGTTACAACTTATGTAAAGTATAAGAACTGAATTAGTGCAATTTGAGGCACACTAACTCTCTGAACACAGCTCAGTCAATTTGACCAACCACATGACCTCTTTGAACTCGTTTAGTCTTTATAAATTTAATACTTCTAACTTTCAGTATTGTGTGTATGTCTTCATAAAATTTGGCAGTCTTTCAGTTAACATCATAAGTCTTTCACATATAAAAATAATTTTTTTGTGAAGGATTTTTAATAAACTAAAACAAAGATTTGTCCATGAATATATTGAGTATTTGTTTCAAATAGTCCATGTGCAAAGTAATTTTCATGTTAAAATTAAAAAACACTTTTCCTCATCTCAAAGTTACTTTGTGTAACCCCTAAAACCCCCTAAATGAATTTCAAACATTTTTATTCATTAAAACTTTATAGTTTAATCTGTTATTTTTTCTACCTTATCTTAAAATGGGATTAGTCAATTCGACAGACCTCATAACCACCAAAAAACCTACGTAAACTTAAATTACCCCCCTTTTTCTAGAATGACTTCAAATTCTAACATGAAACTACATTCGTTTATCCTAAGTAGCTCTAAGTTCATAACTGTATACATCTAACTAACTAACGTGTCTAACTATTATCAACACCATTATAAGATGTAAATCACTTGGAGAACATGCAGCTCACGTTACACTAACATGAAGAGAGTTAACTCTAATTTTTTATACTAATGATAGTAACGCATTCAATTTTTATTTAATTAACTAATGCACCAAAGAATATCGACTAATAACATTCAAAAAGTAGACATATTCCCTTACCTCTCAAAATTTGTCTGTCTTTCTAACTATGTGACAAGAGCCATTATAAGTTCATCCAAACTAGTCGTTAACTTTCCCACAGGAAGTTTAAAAAATTATAAGGCTCCTGGGCCAGATATTTCCCCAAGTGTTTTGAAGGAGGTTAAAGATTGGACATATAAGCCACTTGCTACTATTTTTTTTTGTCAGTCCTTGAATATTGGGCAGATACCAAAGGATTGGAAGTTAACTAATG